TTCGCCAGCTCGGCCGTGTCGAGACGCTTGTCGCCCTGCTCGAGAATGAAGATGGACAGGCGGTGGTACGGGCTGCCCTTCTGCGCGAAGGCGGGCAGATAGGGGACGGCGAGCTGGGAGGGGTCGCGCAGCTTGGAGAGCGGGATGGAGGTGTTGGTGGGGGAGACGGGGACGTTGGCGGCGATGTAGTGGACGCGCTTGCTGAAGCCGTCCGTCTCGACGTTGGGGACGTCGGAGTCCATGATGACGATGGACACGAGGCGCTCGCCGGCGGTGAAGGGGGTCACCCGCAGCTTGGGGGCCACCTCGGTGACGTTGCTGGGGAGAATCTTGCCCGGGGGCACCTTTGAGCGGCGGAACCAGAGCTGGACGTCGTAGGAGGGTGTGAGCTTGGGGAGGATGTCGGGGACGATGTTGAACTGCTCGATGCGCTGCTCGGTCAGCTTGGCCTCGTAGCCGCGCCACTTGCGCTCAGCGAGGTGGCGGTAGATGGGCTTGCTCATGTCGCCTGTTCAATGGCATGTTAGCACCCAATGCAACGCATAGAGGTCCGGTTTGAATCCGTGAGCCGTACCAAGACCATCTTCGAACCGCCTCTTGACTGCCGGGTCGTTTATATCCGCCAGAATCTTGAGCTCCTCGACGTGCTTGCGCAGACTGCTCAGCTTCATCTGGCGCATCCGCTCCCCACCCCTGACATCCTTCGGGTCCATGGCCTCCAGCCTCTTGATCTTAGCCGACTCGGCAACAATAGCAGCCAATTTCTCTTCACGGTCCGCCGCCAGAATCTTGCGCGCCTCCTGGAAAGCCTGGTAGGGCAATTGCTCGAAGGGGAGGTTCTGGCTCGTGCGGATGGCGTAACGGCGACGTCGCGAACCGACGGGTGGTGTGCCGGCCTTCCAAAGGTCCTTCTCAGCCCAGGGGGCTACCGCCGTGTTGGGATCCAGCTCGAGGGGGTCGGCCGTCTCGGGTCTTTCGCGCACCACCTTGTATACTTGGGCGGCCGGGGCCGGTGTCGTGGAGATGCCCCTCCGTATCGGCAAGGTCGTCGTTGTGGCGCTGTTCAGGCATCGCCGCAGCGGCCGGACGGCCTGCCTACACGACGATGACATTGTGCTGGCTGTGTGGGCGGTGGAGAGTCGGTGTGGGTGGTGATTTGTCTCAACGACAAGACGCTCTCACAGCGAAGGAGGTTTTTCACCCAGCTTCGGCGGGATGGCACGCACTTTGCGGGTCTCCATAATTATTTTTCCAATTGAATGCACGGAATATCCCGCCCCGGGGGGACAGCCCAGCCCAGCGGGCAGAGCTCCCACCTCTAACGGCTGTACGTACCGGCTTTTAGCGCCGTCTGATTGGTGAGGCGCCGACAGACGGGCCAAATTTTCGTGCTCCTCCAAAGGGCCATCCGGTCGAATCTCCAAATTGACGACGACGGACGACCACCCCGCGGAAACGGATCTTTGATCAATCAGAACGCCGAGTCTCCTTTCCATTGTGAAGCCGTCGCCCGCTCGGACAATGGCCGGCAGGGGAGTCAGGAGCCTCACCGAGGCCATGAAAGGCCTGGCGGTCTCATCGCAGGCTTGCAGAGCGACGAGGCCAACATCTCTCCTCGGCTCATCCAACTTTACGAGATCAATGGCCAGCGAGGCGCCATTGCCCAACATCACGACGTCGGCGATCTCAAAGCCCAGCGACACATGGGCACCAAGTATGCATTGCCCGCTCACCCCTCGCTCATACACCACGCAAGCAATTGCTAACAAGGCCCTCTGCAGCCACCTCCGTCCCGGTCACGATCCACGCCTTCCCGGACCTCGAGCCCCTAACCCTCGACGTCTACTCGCCGAAGCACCTCTTTCTCCCCCTCCGTCGCGATCTCCTCCATCTCGCAGTCGTCTACGAGGGCGACAAGACCCGCCAGGGTACGGCCAGCACCAAGACGCGCTGGGAGGTCCGCGGTTCGCATCGCAAGGTGCGCCCCCAGAAGGGCTCCGGCAAGGCCCGTGTCGGCACCAGGCAGTCTCCCATCCGCGTCGGCGGAGGTGTTGCCCACGGCCCGAAGCCGCGCGACTTCAGCACCCGCCTCAACCGCAAGGTTTACGACGTCGCGTGGCGCACCGCCCTGAGCTACCGCTACCGCCGCGGTGAGCTCATTGTCTGCGAGAACGGCATGGACCTGAAGATGCCGTGGGACTTCACCTCGTTGGTCAAGGCTCGGTACATGCCGCCCAAGCTGGACGAGGAGTACAGCCGCAAATGGATCTTGCAGCTCCTGGAGGCCAAGCAGTGGGGCAAGGAGCACGGCCGGACGTTGTTTGTCACCTCTGGAGAGAAGCCGTGGCTCTCCAGGACCATGTTGGCGGCGGGTGACCATGGAAGATGTCTTGATGTCAAGGACGTGGATGTGAAGGACTTGTTGGAGGAGGGACGTGTGGTGATTGAGAGAGAGGCGCTGAAGGAGATCATCGAGGCGCACCAGAGCGACTTGGTCAGCAAGATCTTCATTAACGGTATCACAAGGTCAGGCCCGGAAATTATCCAGTACTGAAGAGGGCGACGAGGAAAGGTGAGAGGAAGAAGTCTGTGGATATCGTGTAACACCAATCACCCAAGCAGCAGAGATTGTCTGATCAAAAGGCGCCTCTTCAGCGTGTAGCAATAGAAGGCATATCCTGCCATTCACTCTGTAAATGTGCGCTTAGATGTGTGATTACGCCGGTCTAAAGTGCAAGGCCATTATTGAATCGGCCAAAATCCCAACGCTAACCAGAGCTAGGTGATTCCATAAATGGTGTGCGGTTAGCATCGAGAAAGAAAAAACGAGCCACAGAACTGAATGGAACGAACTGTGTGAGTCTTGCTTCGACTCACTGAATAAATTGAGAACATCATGACAGTGTGCATAATCCCCTTGAGGGGTACTGCAGAAAACTCATGGGATCCTGTGTCGCAAAATGGGGCGCCAACACGTTCAACTTGCCTCCATTCGGAAACCTCCTACGCCATACCGCGTCAAATTCCCTGGCAGAAACGGGTACATTGCCCGGGTACCAACCCACCCACACCCAGCCAACCATGTACCGAACGACTCGTAAAACAACACCCCATGTTTTTCTTCTACTGTGAAGTCGAAGAAAAAAGCTGCAAAAGCACACAATAACTGAATACTCGTCGGATCGTCTGACAGGTTAATTCAGTTCGAACCCCATCGTTGGGGGTTTTACAGGGCTCGCCGCTCCCTGTTCTCGCCGGCGATTTAACTCCCTGCTCCGGCCCCATATTTCCCGTCGGCTTGTGGAGCGGCGGCCCGGCATGCGAGCCCGGCCCCGGCGGCTTGCGCGCACGCACCCTACGTCATTGCGGGCGGCACAACAGCTTGGCTCGTCATTTCCCCCCTTCGACATCCATCGTCAGGGCACTTAGAGTTTCCCGACCAAGGACAACTCCCATGCAGGATGTTCACTTATACCCAAGTTCTCCACTGTAGCAAGTGCCTTTGGGTCCTGGGTATCGACGAAGCTTCGTCTTGTAAGAGGAGGGAAAATAATAGGCATATTAAGCTTACAAGCGTAACCATCAGTAACCTTTCAATGGCCTTCAAAATCATAAAAGACCTCTGTAGCTAGGGAGCCAGAGGAAACAGGACGTCGGATGTCCTCTAGTACCCTGTATAGGGCTTACCACATCCTTGTTTCCCGCCCAGATACCTGCAGTAGTGGAAGATGACATGAATGACACGACGGGAAGGAAATACCTAACCCAGGGTGCGGGTTCAAGGATGCCGTTTACACACCCTCCCCTCCTTTTCCCAACTCCCATGCGGAACCGTTAAGCGCGTTTTACCTTTTTCGAGTCACGGATACGCGACCCGTTCAAGGGGGGGTGTTTTCGCTGTCGCCTGCCGGAAGGAGGACTGGTGACGTAGAGATGAGTTAGACAAAAGGGCAGCATGAGGTAGGTAAGCTCATTCACACAGCTTATAGCTTCGCCAAATACGACGACCCCCGTGCTCTCCTGTCAATGGTAATTTCCTCCCTGTATGAACTGCTCAAGATGCAATGCAATGCAGACTCACCCCGACGCGGAAGCGGGCAAGACGCCCCGAAGCGAGCAAAGCCCACCCAACGACGTTGCAACTGGGGCCCAGGGAGGAGCTGTTCTGACGTAGTAGTAGTACAGCCCAAGCTCCTAGCTCCTAGCTCCCCAGCTGGCCTACGTAGGAACTTGTTGCTTAGAACCCGTCGCTTCTTCTACTTTATTTCGTTTCTTCCTACTCCTACACGACGACTCGCTTCTGTCTCACACTTTTACATCCATCCCGTCTGCAACTCATCTCTGGATTCTAGACTCTTTTGGGTGTATGAGTCTCTCCCTGGGCCATACCCTTGCAACTGAGCCCGCTCGCCACCATCTCAAACTCAAGCAAGAAAACCGTCTTTCCAACATAAGAGAACGACCGTTTTCTTATCAAGGACAACATCGTCAACGGCAGTCATCGCATTGTAGAAGACCCATAATCACCAGGAGGGCAACTTCGTCGAGAGGAACGACGGTGGAGAAAGCAGCCGCCGGTCACAGCGGCGACATAAATAGTCAAGCATGCACGGCCAGGTCAGTTGCCCACCCATTTCTTCTCATTCAATCGATACCGTTCTCTCACCGAATCTTTTTTTGAATTTTGATCTGTGTACTGGGAAGAATCTCGCCCGGAAGCGGATGGCTCCGCTCCGGCAGTTGGCCCTTGATAAACGGCCTTGAAGCCTGGCTAGTGGCCATATCTATAACTCGTTTCTTGGAGAACCCTGTCCCGAGGCTCCATTCCGTGGCATTTGCATTGCGCCCGACGATCCACCAGGGTATCCGATTGCAATTCCAGCTTTGCCTTCTGTTGTCTGCTTCCAACGAATGACCTTTTGGTTATCATTATGCCCGTCCAATTCATTTCTCATCGCATGGGCAAGCCATAAGCCCAAACTCTTTACAACGCCAGTACATCAAGCTTGTTCGAAAACGCTATCTGGCATGTGGTCATAGTTGAAGTCCATGCTGCTCGCAGACCTAGAGGACATGCTTGTCATGGCCCGCTCAGATCTTGTAGGGGAGATCAGAGACATTTGACCTACGTCGTCCTTGGTCAATTTCCCGCAACAAAGATCACAAATCGATAAACTCACTGTCGATTGAGGGCCTATATCCTGGTCCCATGTCGAGTGGTCTTTCACCAACCCCTCGACTAGCGTCGATACTTTGCTTCTTGACACGCTCTGCGCTGCTTTGGACAAATCGTCGGGCCTCATTTTCAAGCCATAAGTTGATGTTCGGGTCGTTGCAGTTAGCGTGGGACATGAGCTCATTCTTCATTCGTGTGACTTGGTCCACCAAACCGTTATATTCCATTTGCAGCTGAGCGTGCTGGCTCTCCAGACCTTGCTTGGTCTCCTGCAAGTCAGTTACCCACTCCTTCTTCTTTTGTCGGCACTTGCTTGCTGCTATTCGGTTCCGCTCCAGAAACTTATTGCGCTTTTCACCGTCGCCGTCACCATCATCATGAATGTTGTCATTGTCTTGCACGGGCGCCTTTCCCTTCCTTCCCCTCTTCCTTGGAGGACTGGCATCCGATGGCATCGTCGTTCTGCTCGACTTGGACGATGTCTGAGTTAGCATCGAGCTGGTGGAGTCTGTCCTCGAGCTTGACTTGGAGGTAGATGGCACATGCATCAGCGTCGGTCGGTCGTCCATGGGTTCTTGCTTGGTGGTGTAGTGCGCCTGGTGATTGCCATACATCGCGGGCATGCTAGACATCATTGGGTCCCATGCACTCGGCATGGGCATATAGACTGAAGGATTCTGCGACATTGTTGGTGAAGTCGTGTGGGCTTCTGGAGGCTGTATTGGAAGCGATTCCGGAGGCAGCAGACTCCGGGGCTGCTCGCTGTCGAAAGACTCGTTAGTCGGTGTCGCAAGATCAACCGCGTCATTGAAGAAACTGGGAGGGGTGTTCATCGTGGCGACGACAATCGATTCCGTCTAGACGGTCTGGTCGTGGGGAAGGTCGAAGATTACCGAGTTGATGAAATTGTGGTCGTTCCCACACCTACCCGATACGATACGCTCCGAGTAACGACAAAAGCCGACAGGATAAAAGGACGAGAACGCTAACCGGGACGATGATGAGGACGAAGATGGAAGTTCGAAGCGGATGTCGGAGGTGCGATGAGCGCGGAATGCGCGGGAAATGGTGTGGTCCTGTCACAATCTCAACGCCTGCGTGTACTTGGCGATGATTGAAAGTGCACAAGCCGTTGCGCTGCTTCAAGTCGGGTATGTGTAGGGAGTGACGTTTTCCAAGTGCGATGGTCGCCGGTTTTCAGTGACCAAAGCGTAGGTGCGCTTCGATGATTTAGGAAAAGATGGAGCTACAAGCACCAATTGGTCAGTCTTTACCACAAAGTATGACGTCTGGGCAGATCAGGTTGATGTGCGACGGGCTGATGGGGCAGTCTAGGAATTATCGATGAACAGGAGGCGGTGCAACAGGCAATGCCATGTCGATGTGCATGGGCACTCCGGGAGTACGACGACAAGAACAAGAGTACAAGTAAGGGATGAAGAGCGGAACGGCAAGACGACAGTAAGAACGGCAGCAAGGATGGTAGAGAGCATCTGAGGATACCTTGACTATCAAATGCTCAGAAACGGAGGGCCCGCTGTCAATGTGGATGGGGCGACGTGAGTGCTGCCCGCAGGGCCAAGAGAAAGCTCAAGGGGTAAGCCGGAGCGATCAGGCCGCTGCAACACTCGCCGGTGAAGACGCCGCCTGCTAGACGGAAACGGCAGAGTTTGGGGGCGATGTTGGAACTTGGGATATCTCGTGAAGGGATGTGACGACCTGAGAAAAGTGTCTAATCGGCTTACCTGAGCTCAGAACCAGTTTCCTCAGAGCGGGTGTAATATTGCCGCCGATACCAATGAGAGTCGTGCCGACTAGGTTGCGACACAAAATGAGAAGCCAGCGCTCTGGCAACGGTAGCAAAACGGAAGAGAGCCCCGTTTCGAGATGGCGATGTGGTCTATCGGCTAGGGCAAGGTATCCCCTGTTGGTAGACGAAGCTTTGATGCGGCCAGGCGAGAGCGGTAAGGAGAGCAAGTCAATTGACGATGCGACTTGGATGCCTCTGTAGAATCTGGCCGTGATTCTCGATACTGGCCAGTATCATGGCACGCTGTCACGGTGTTGCCGGACGCGGTACCAAACCGATGAAGATGCGGCAATCTTCCACCAAGCCAGCAAGGATGTTCAGGTAGTGGTGTGGGTGGACACTGCTAGTGCTTGCAGTGCGATGGAGCAGTCCAAGTCACACAAGCAGACGTCGCCGGCTGGACAGGGATAAGCGGAAAGCGACGCAAGACCGGTTGTATGTGTTGAAGGTGAAGGAAGACGACGGCGGCGGTGAGGCCAGTATGGTCAATCGGCAGATGCTGCGAAGAAGGACGACGAGGATGGAAGAGACAGCTGCGGGAGACGGAGTGTACTCCGGTCTTCAATAACCTGGAAGAATGGGGTTGACTCAGGAAGGGAGCAAGCTGTGGCGGGAGGAGTCGGCCGGTTGGATGGAGCTCTTGGACTGTCGAAGCACCGATCAATGAGCAGCAGGTGGGAGGAGGCCTGCAAGGGAGGGTGATGAGCGGATGTCGTTGGGGTAAGGCACGCGGCCGGCAGGCGATGAACGTGGGAGGGACGGATGCGTGAGTGTGAGGTGAGATGAGGTGAGGTGAGGTTCAGATACGACGGGGTAAGGTAAGATAAGATCAGGGCAGGTCGTCGTGGGAAGCCGAGGAGGAGCTGCTTCCACAATTGCATTACTTGAAGCACCCGGTTTCTACGTTTCCGCCTTTCTGCAAGTGCAGGTGCTGGCGGGAGTGCACTTGCAAGCAAGCGCATACCTCAGACTGGAAGGCAGGTGGGAGGCAGCTAAGGTAATCAATCAGCTGTACCTCACCTTCTCTGCACACATGGCAACAACACGACTGCCAGCGGTGAGTGCTGCTAAGGATATTAGTGCGGGTGCAGGTGCAGGTGCAAGCGTTGCCAGACACGGGATGCCTATTTCCATCCCGCCTTCCTACCTTACCTTTTCAACATCGCACAGAGTTTGCGGATGCTGCTCCGCAAGGGCAGAGCTGTTTGTATGGCTGCACCCAAGCTTCGCCTTCACCTTTTCTGTGTGTGTGTTGGGCTGTCAGAGCCTGCCTCGGAAGCTGCTCTGCCAGGATACCTACAGGAAGCTACCCTGCCCGAATTTCCTCTTACAGGCTCGCCTTGCTGCGCAAAGGGTGAAGGGAGAGGGGCCCACTGCTCTCGACAGGAAACGCTACCGCTGGGCCCTTGTTCCTTCGGATGAAAGTCTCCGAAACTGTACAAGACCTGGCTTGACGCTCTGGTCGCCGCTCCTATCGTTTGCTGAGGTGCTCTGGTGAGTCTGCTCTTGTTTTCTGCTGGTTGCCTTCCCTGAAGCAACTCAGCCCGCGCAGTACGGCACACGATACCAGATGCATGTGTGGGATGCGAGCTGGAAAGCTACACCACCTTGGCTGGCTAGCTGCGACTGCTACTGGGTATTTGGGCCTTGCTTTGCTTCTCTGCGGCGTTTTCGGCATTAGAACATGTGCCAAGGTTCGGTTGATCATGTTTGGTAACAATTCCATGGTGTAAAAAGGTTACCACCAGACATAGCGCGCCACGGCCCAGATCAGTCTCAAAGGCTCAGTGCGCTACGCAGTGCCTACCTGCTGCAACGTGGGCCGCTGAGCTTTCTGACGCTAGAACCAGCCGGATGCCGGACACCAGATATCCCCTCCCGCTCGACCTTCCGTGCTCTCTAGCCAGCACCAAGCAGCCACAGCCAGAGAGGCATGAGACGGTTTTTGAGGCCAGGGAGTCCCTCATCAACTCTCCCTGGAAGGCTTGAAGCCCTTGACGACAGATCCCTAGCGCTGATGACTGGCTCGGTGAGCACAGGCCAGTAGCAGGACAGTGACTGGTAAGAGGGCAGGTCCGGGAGGTGACACTGACATTGCCCGGGAACCAACGCATGGAGCTGGATGGCCCGGGTCTTGTTCCCTTTGGCTGAGGGCCTGCGTGGCATGCCTAGCTTGGCTGGCATCCATGGCTCTTTGGCGCAGGGGTGGGACACAGGGGGAGCTCGGGAACGCTAGGTGGGGAAGTGAGGGGCACCTCACACCTCACACACACACTGGACACCACAAAGCCCAGCTCACCACCACCGAAAACATGCCCCTCCGCGTCCTAGCCAGCTGAGGTGCGCTTGAGCCTGCCCTCGCCATTGGCGCACCACATTCTGCCAAACTTTCTTAACCCCGCTGCTGCGATAACTGCGACCTGCCTCAACCCACGGAAACGGCTTGTCTTCTGTTAGTGTTCTTCCCTGCAATCCCGTGTTTGCCTATTCCTGCTACCTGCTTACGCACTTACTAAGTACGGAAGCCTTCCGGCCACGCCCCGTTTCAAGCACAACTTCACACGTCTGTCTACCCGGTATGCCCGGCTTGACTTACTGAGAGACTACAGGATCGCCATCACTCTCACATCAACATCGGCCGATAGTCTGGATCGTCAAGATGGAAACACAATGCCAGATCGTCGATGAGAAGCTCCGAATCATCGCAAACCGGGGGCATGACTAGCATCAAGCCCCGTTCGCCTGCCTCGACCCATATCGCGGCCCGAGAACGAAGCAATTCCAACCTCAGTTTACCCGATGCGGGAGCATGTCCTGCTGTACTGTGTTAGTTGAATGCCTTCTCAGCCGCCCCGCGAAGCAAGACGCTGCCCTGTTAATATTAAGACAGAATCCGTACCTTTCCCCACCAGACAGCCTCGCAAAACGGTCGCTCGACTGGGCCAGACGCAAACAAACAAACAGATCAACCGTCACACAACAAGCTCGTGGCTGTCGAAATTTCCAGAAATCCCCTGTTTCTGTACCATGATCTCCTTACCCAGCCCCAGCCAGGTACCGGGTCTGTACCACCCAGTCCCTGCAAGATGTGATACTATTATGGACCCTGAGATTGTCACACGCTCGCCTCAGTCTTTCATCAGTTTAGACTGCCAAGTGCCGAACACATCGACGAACTACAGATGAGAGATGCAACTCAATCGGCTGCCGTTTGTTCAGATGGTTGCGTCGCGTAACTAATTTTGGGTCGCAAGGACGGATTTGGTAAACGTGATGGAGTGGGAATGGTAACTGAGCCAGTATCAATGGTGGGGTGATTGCGGCACCCATCTCCGACTCATGTCCGGCCCTGAATCGGCCCCGGGCCAACCGTCGCAATTCCATTGCCTGCCGTGTCCAACATTCCAGGTTTCTGACCAGCCCGCCTTGCACCGCCGAGACCGTGTGGTCCCTGATCGGGAAAGAGATTTACGTCCCCTTGTTCGACCGCCCTCGACACGTGTATGCGCTTAGAAATGTTCTGCTAATAACGAACCACCCAAATTTTTTCTTACAGTAACTGAGGACCCTTCATGCATTCTTGACCTCAGCATCATCGAAGCATGGCGTCAGAAGCCCGCATTGAAACCGGTTGGACCCCAAGAGATCCGCACGGCGCAACCTCCGAAGTCCAGAAACCACTGATATTTGAGCTTCATCCTTCGCACTCTTGGCTCATTGGCAATGAACCACACTTTCTATGTCCAGGAGTCCAGGCCTGATGTCTCTGTTTGCTATCTACGCGTCTCAGATCGGGCTCTGTTGTTAGTGAGCCATCACGAGCAGTGCTCCTCACTGCTCCATTGCTGGATCCTAATGATCGACCGGGACCTGCACGCTCGTCCATAAAAACAGGCTATAGGGCTTTGAGTGACGTCATCCCGATGAACTGAAAAGTTTTTGATAAAGGCAGCGTCTGATGTGGCAGCCAAGGCCCACCAGATACCACTTTGGCGAGTCGTTCAGAAGAGGATGCCATCGAGATGAACCATCCGGAATAAGTCTTCCTACCAGCAGCTGACTGACCAATTGAATGCGGACCGAGCCTGATAAAGCGGTCAATTGACTTTCGACCGGGGCCACGTAATTCTTGAAACTTCTGCACCGATTCCCCCTCGATGGGAGCATCGAAAAGAACATTGGAGACAGGGACGGTATACGCGATCCAAACCACCGTTAACATAACGTTTTGTCGATCACTTGGAACGGTCCATTCGTCGATGGAACCCTGAAGGGTCCTCCTGCTTATCTAATTCGAGCAATTCGACCCCACTTCTCACCTGACAGCGCGATAAGTGTTGGCGCGAGGGGCCAAAAACGCGACGGCAAATCACCTCCTCCCCGCCATCTTGACACGACTCTGCTGCGTCCCTGTCCTGTACGATCCCGCTGTCAGCACAAACAAGCTGTGGGCCAATTACTTCTCTACCTTGAGGCAGATCAAATCCTTGCTTTCTCAACCCGCAGCGCGCCAACAGGAACGTAGCAACCGCCAACAAAGCCGCTCCCTCAAGATGGCCGAAGCCACCTCTACCCCGCGTATCACCGCGCAATACCTCGATAACTACGTCGGCAAGAACGTAATGCTCGTCGGCAAGGTCGTCCAGCTGCGCGGCGATTCCGCAGTCCTTGACGCCGATGGCAACGTCACCGCCATCCTGAACCGCGTTGGTCCATACCGTCTCCTGTAACTTGAGCATCGGGATATTAACGCGCTTTACTCAGGACGTCCACCTCACCAATGGCAACGGTGCTCAGATCGTCGGCAAGGTCAACCCCGACCTGTCCATCAAAGTTCTCTCCTCCAGAGATTTGGGATCTGGCGTGGGTACGTCGGCCTTGTTTCTTACCCATTGACTCCATGTCTCGTAGTATCGGGCAGCAATACGCACGCATTCTCGTTCAGCTTTGGCTCGTCCCGAGAAGCTTGTTGACTTATGCCGCCCAGCCCCCAGTCACCCAACGCTAACATCATCTACAGACTACTCACTTGCCTCTGCCGTCGTAGAGGCAACTCACCATCACAAGCCCCTCTTCGTCTTCGACAATTGACCGCCCCAGCCGTCCGGGCGCGTGTACGGGAGCAGACAGGTCACTATCCCGGCGACGCCCTGTAAATCCGCACCCGCACCCGTGATCCGGCCGGCGACGGCAACGGCATCCGCCACGCAGCAGCAGCAGCAGCAGCAGCAGAAGCTACCGCAGAGAGAGTTACGATATCATGAACCGCCACCCACACCCGAACCTCCTTCGTCTGATTTCACACAAAAGCATCACCAGCATTCGACCCCGCAAACGCCCTACCCGCAAGCACAGAGACGCTATCCCAAAACGCCTCCCAGATCATCCCAGCGTCAACGTCAACATCACCAGCAAGGAAGCAGTGATGCGGGAACATCAACCACTCGACCACTGTCCCGCCCATCAGATTTACAACCAACCCCACCATCCCCTGAACCATCTAAAGCTACCACCAGGTCCAAGGACACGACTTCGGGACGTAGCCACAGGGACGGAAGGGAACGCAGGCACCGCAGGCATAAATCACGCCCAAAGGAACCCGAAGTCGGTGTGAATGAGGTTGTCGACGACTCGGAGCTTTTGGGGGCCATCCTGGACGGCGTTGGCCGAATGACCGTCGGCACTGTCGCCATGCGTATGGACGATGCTGGAAGGTGGAGGATCCGTCGCGACTCGGGGGATGATAGTACTTAGCATCTGCTCTTGATTGTGACTAGATCACGAACACAAAACGTCTTGATGATAATGAACAACTTTCTAATCTCATATTTGGGGGCTGAATATCCTGTTCAAGCCCGCGTTCATGCCTAACTGACTACTACAAGAAGCTCCTAAACACCAGGTGACCGATATCCTGACACTGCCGGCTATGTTTACCTAATAGCCTTCCTCGTCCGCCATCAATTCTTGGACTGCTTCCACAACCCCGAGGAGGGCTGTGTCAGTCAAACTAACTTTAATCCCTTCATCGACACCGTTCCTTGTATTCCACCACGCAGCGGCTCCGCCATCGCCGCTTCTGGTGCCATCCAAATTCCTGAATGCCAATTTAATTCTCGATGTCACCAACTCCCCATCCTCGGTTCCGGTCATGTCGGTGCTCTCTCGCTCCCTGGAAGACACATCAGCCGAATCGTATTGCCCATCTCCCCCTTTGAGGCACCGAATCTTACGTGTGAAGCGTTCGAGCACCACGACCCGTTTCTCGGCAGCTTCTGCTCGCCCCTTCCACATGGCACACTCGCGTGTTGCCGACCGTAACTGTTCGCTGAGCAGGCCAACATCCATTTCGTCTCTCGTCTCCAACTGACGACGAAGTGAGGCAGTCTCCTCCGTCTTGGCGTCTAGTTGCCTTTGCAAGCTGCGAATTTGCGCGTGCAGCATCGAGTTTCCCCCGGGGCTTTCCGGGCGTGTAACCATCGTGTATTCCCCAAGTTGGCGCAGTGATGGCGTAGATGGAGGCCGAGGAAAGTTGACATGCTGGGCAACAGGTGGCTGTTCAAGATGTCGGGTCATTGTACCCAAACTTCGTAGGCCTCTATCGTCGTTCAGAGGCGGGCCTTTCGCGGCAGACTTGTGGTAATTTTGGAGATCGGGCGTTTGTCGAAGCTGACAGAAAACGGGTTTTTCTGGGTAAGCAGGCGCGTGTTCAGGCCGGCGGCCAACTTGGCGGACACTTCTGGGTCGACTGCTCAAGTTGAAGCTCTGACGGCTTTGCTCCTCTTTTGTCTTTCCCAGGCTCCAAGATGATCCCATGGATGCCAAAGACTTAGGAGACTGTGTCTCAAGTCTAGAATGAACGAGATTCGGCGCAGTCTCGCTCGCTCGAGACCCCGTCATCGGCGAAGGTGCATATGACGAATCCATAGACGCCACTTCAAACATCGCGGCGATAGCCTTCACGCTGTTAGGCTTGGAGGTTGATGTACGCGCAGGTGTGGGCACTCTAGATGGTCCTCTGGAGGTCCGCGCTGGCGTCACCACCGGTCGTAAAGAAGAGGCTCGGGACCGCTGCGCAACCTCCTCCGCCTTGGACGCCAAGCTTTTCGGTGACGACTTTCCCGTATATGATTCATTTATATATGGTAAGCCAGCATGCGATTCATCTCCCTCCGAAGGTATCCCGGCGAAGCCATTCTGGTGGTGAATGTTAATGTCCTTGTCTCTTTGCAACATCGTCTGCATACCCTCTTTCGCGCAAGAGTCGTCTGCTGGCAGCTTATCCTATAACGCCTTAGCCGAGTTTGCGCCAGTATTTCGAGACCTCTGAGGGACTGTCATTTCAGCGCAGTATTCCTTCGGAGTGATTTGAATGGAGCTGTTGTTATCGAACTCCATGTCAGTCTCGTCGCTATACCGCGGGGTTCGAGGGTTAGGTCGCTCGCGTTCGACATCCGACTTTCTAGGCCGACGGACGTCGCTGTCTGATAAACATTTCCAACCTGCCACTTTCTGAAAACCACCCGTTTGGGTCCCTGCGTTCGCAACCACAGCCTTCTGCACTGGGACGTTGGGTTTTGAATTTTCCTGAGCCACGTCGGATCCACACAAGCTCCTTGCTGTTGGAGTTAAAGAATCACTTCCACTCAATCTGATGATGGTTCGAGGACTCATGTTAACAGGTACGATGTGTTTTCTCTTGGGCGTTCTTGGTGTTGAGCTGCCGGACGAGCCACCGCTTCGATCAGTTCCAACAAGTCGATGTAAAGCCGTAGAGACAAATCCAGCGTCTTTTCCTCCGTTTTCCTCCGACATCTGCTCCAAGGATCTCTCAGGCTGACGGGTCTTTTGCCCATGGCCAGTTTCGCTGGCTTCCTTGATGTTCATGGTATTTAACGGCTCGCTTGACCGGTGGCCTGTCGATCTAGACGAAGTTCTCTCCGGGATGAGCACGTCATGTACCCGAGTATTATGGTTCGGGTGCTTGCCGTGGCGTCCAACTCTCGTCGGTGATTGTGCATCGGGAGTACTGCCAGATGTAGGATGAGAGATTTCGCAGCGGTTCCCCTCTGGCAGACCGCCCGTGATCGATGATGTAGAGGCTGCTGCCAGACTTGTTTCCCCAGAGGCTCGCTCCGCCTTTGTACCTCTGGTCCTCATGGAACTGGTCTTACAAGATCCTATCTTGACGTTGCTTTGCTTGCTTCCAATTCTCTTGACACCATGATTATTCGCTGTGAATTCTTCTGCAGTGGGCGACAACGAGTGGAGTGAGTGTTGAGGCGGCAGTCGGTTCGAGGACGGAGAAAGAGGCACTTGGGGCCGGACCTTTTGGACGTCAAGTTTGTGCGTCGGACCGTCGGGTATCGCTGAACGTGCCAGTGTCCCTATTCGTGTTATATCGTTAGTCCAAATTTGACCTAGAGAGCAGGCTGACCTACTGCAAGTTGGTGTGGGAGAGTCTGGAGTCGGAGATCCATCCCGATCAATCGTGCCTCCCGGCGTGGCTGATTTGCTTTTCCATCCTCTGGGTAGTCCAACTGTAAACGGATCGGAGCTGGAAGACCAATGGGATTTGTGACGGGCCTTTTTGTCCACTCCTTGATCGATCCTAATAAGTATTCTTAGATCCCTCATGTTCTTGACGACCTCCCTCCAATTGGTGATGAGCATCTCCGCAGTTTCGTTCGCGACATGGACCTTGTTTATCGCTGGAAGTGGCGGTTCGTCTTGTGGTTTCGCTGTGCGCTGTCGTTCTCTTTTCAACTGCGGCGGCGTGAGGGGGAAAAGTAGAAGACCAGCAGACGGGGTCGCCAGTTTCATGGTATAGGAATCTAGAAGATCACCAACAAGCAGGGGTCCGAAGACGATGCCTAATGCAGTATATCCCATGAGATCAGACGTGGGAAGAGGATGACCCCGCTCGTCTTCGCGGGCTGCCGTCTCCCCAGCACGGCCAATGACAGAGAGCAGACCAAACACGGCGCATATCAGTTCTCGCTGGAATTGCGATTTGACGGTACCGATTGCTAGCGCGATGAGGCGGGCTCGAAGCTTTGTCTCTTTCGTTCTGCTTAGCTCGGGCTCACCCCGAAGCTGGCATTGTATGGCCACCAATGCATCGAAAAGCGAGAGTGTACCGAGGATACCGCCAGGGAGAACGGAGAGGAACTTCTTGAAGGCTGACGCTATGTCGTGTATTCCGACGTTGATATGGGTCGGGAGAGACGCGCAGCGAATCGTATTGGTAACTTCTTCACCAGCCTTCTCGTCGCAGTAGTAGTCGAAGATTGCATTGATTCCACGGATTGACCCTGGAATACGGAAGATTCCGCGCGTTTCCGGTCCTGTTCACTGTAAGGTTATGATTATGTGCAGGGAGTAGGAGGAAGAGCATACCATACTGGACCAGATATTGAGCCGTTGCCCTGAAGCAAGTCGGCAACATGAGAGAGCTAGGGGCATACGGCTCTGGCAAGTAGAGGAAGTTCTTGCCGCTGAGCCTAACCATCGTCTGAAGATCAACGATTCTGCGTTCCGGTCTTCTATGCGCAACCATATTTAGAGCGAGGTCGCTGATACTTCGCCTGTGCTTGATCGACCTGGATGGTCGTCGAGAAATGGACGGCTGTCCAGATGAAGGTGAACGAAACATTCGCGACCACCACCTCCGCTTTTCTGACATGGCCGCAGGTGTCGTTGGTCGCTGGAGCAATTAGCCTCTTGCTGTCACATTTGGGAATATTCACTTACTCCTTCAAAATCCCCGACAACAAGAGCTCGGATTCCATGCTGTCATATCGCATTAGCGATAATCGACCATCGGATACCGATGAAGGCACTGCGCTAAAGCAGGCAGGTTTTTTTCTTACCTTTTTGGCCAGACGATTGTACTCTTGAACAAAAAACTCGCGGCTCTCGACCACATCGGTGTCTGGGAACAAAGCTAGGTCTGCGGCAGAGGAAGTCCATGTTGCGCTGCTTGGCAGAGCCCGGTTGCGACGGTTGTCTCTGCTGGCAAGTGCGGGAAGTGTGGTCGAGTTGGGTACGCGCTGTCGATCGGGGCCATCATGTGTCGAGAAAGACATCACTGGCAGTTGAGGAGGTAATGTGCTCGTAGGTGCTGTGCTTGGCTTCTGGCTCGCATGGGTCGCAGTCTCTGCATCGCGAGACGCGGCCGAGGATATTGATGGGTCGGGGCGATAATGCTGCATCGCAAAGGAGTTGCGCAAATGAGATGGAGACTGAGCAGGTGAGTTGGATGCAACCAGCTCGGCTCGGGATACAAGTTATCTTATGCCAAACCGCTGCAAGCTTGCGAGTGAGGTCGAAGTGGCTGATCAAGTTTGATGGGGAGGCGTTTGTGCCTGGATTCGGGCTGTCCAAAGCAATAAAATGGCTGAAAGAAAGTTACCATCAGTCTGCTCTTGCCTCGTATCCCGAGAAACGCGACAGCCTCAACTGGATCGCACCTTCCCGGCCCAGCCTACCTGGATAGGTAGCAAGATGACATTGCGAGGTAGCCACTGGTGACATTGCCCACGCCGTTGGCCACAAAATGCACCTTCCCGCGCAAACGACAAACCTTACGTAGTGTGCAAGTTGAAGCCCGGGGGTGGCATGAGGCCAGAAACAGAAAGGTACGCTAAGGAGTTGATATCGACATGTTCTCATTTCGTGATGCATCCAGGTAGCCGACTGCTCCATAAAGACCTTCCAACCCTCTATAATGAAGTGAAAGAAAATGTTAAATATGCGCACCATCTGGTATTCCTCCCAGTTACGCCCCCATACGCCTGGCACATGCTCATTACCATGTCTACCGTGCCCCATGTCATTCCAGCGAGGATCCGTCGCTCTTTGGTTCTATGTAAATTTCATTTTTCTTTCCAACTTCATGTTCATTTGGTGTCGTCCTCCTCTCCGTACAGAAGAACATACTTGAGGATGTCGGACAGGGATATCACGCCCACGAGCCGGTTTTCATCATCTACTACAATCAGACGATGCACTCGTGACTTGCGAACAGTGTCGAAGATGGAGTCCAGTCTGTCGTCAGGGCTGCATGTGTAGATTCCCGGGGAGTCATCGGGTCTCCTGCACAAGGCCTCGCCAACACTGGACGACAGCTCCTCATACGCGCCACCCTTGATGCATGGAATGATGTCGACAGCCTCGAAAACATTGAGCAGCCGGTTGTGCTTGTCGACTATAGGGACACAGGAAATGTTGTACTTGACCATCGAGTCTACAACGTCCAGGACGGAATCGCCCATCTTGGCCGTTGCCAGCTTCTTGTATGTGCCCAGACCGATCTCCCTCAGCGACTTCTTCAGCAGCACCGTGTTATGCTCGTTGTTGACGGCGATAAACTTGAGGATTCTATACTGCGTAATGACGCTGACAACCATCTCGCGGCCGGTTTCGTCGTCGACGTCTACGAGAGGAATTCTTCGTGCGCGGGTCTTGAGCATCCGACGGCAGGCCTCGTAAAGTGGTCTCATGGGGTTGACAGAGACTGTTTCGAGCGGAGATACGCCGATAGCCTTCTCGATATCTACAAAAAGCTGTTGGTAAGTGGTCCCCAGCAAACGAGCTTGTCCTTGTCACGAACCTCGCAGGCTACTCAGGCGAAACTGTTCCAGCTTGCTCATCTCGTCAGGAAATTGACAGTAGTACTGAATGACGTTGATGTAGTCGGTAGCTGTCAGAAGACCAGCGAAGGTCGAGTTGTGCGAATCCCATAACGGCGCGGAAACGATTGCTACGGCGAAGGTCAGAATGGACAGCTCGGCGCATTCAGGCGGCATGACTCGTACCATTTTGAATGAGGATGTTGAGACTCTTCTTAATCAAGAGATCATTGTCGAGGACGATGAGACGGAAGGATAGCGGCAGGACATCGTAGCTGGTCCGAACTTTGAGGAACTCGCGGATCGCTTTCTGGGCAGACAAGCATAATTAGCCACGGGTCTTTGCGGTCTAAACGTGCCCCTCGCGATGGCGGCGGGCGGATGGCAAAGCGCAACCCCGCATGCGCAGAGGCAGCAGCTCAGAGCAAATTCGGGTCACAGGGCACCATTCGGCAGGGCGCTCGAGGGGAAAACGGGCGGCGGAAGGTTGTTGCCAGCTTACCAGACCCTGAATTTGGTCCTTGTCGAGAGGGCTCGGGGGCTTTTCAGGCATTTTGCGAAGCACAGAGGGCGGTCTTGGGCGTAGGTAGGATGAGGGCGTGACGAAGGGAAGCTCGTGACCTTGTGGTCTCGCGATGGACGCAGCAGTAGCGACTACGGGCGGTTGTAGTGGACCAGTACCGCTAGGCTGTTGCTGATGCGACATGGACATGGAGCCAGGACCGGCATTGTCCTTCGACGCCGAGGACGTGGAGGAGGGGTCGTCCATTGTGTCGTCGTGCCGTACGAGGAGGGCTGGCTAATGGCGCGCGTGGCCCCTCTGGACGTGGACGGGACGGGGTACGGGGGAATTGGTGTGGGAGGAGAGAGCGGGAGACAGGAAACGGGAGACGGACGGCAGAGGCGGAAGTTCAGAGACAAGGACGGAATTTTGCGGTCGAAGAATCGGACGGGTTGGGCTGGAACTGGAACTGACGCATTGGTGATTTTTGTTCCCTTGTCGTTCTTTTTTTCTTCCAGGTTCCTTCTCTGTTCCCCTCCAGCGGTGGCAGATAGCAGAGGTAACTAGCAGTGACAGCGGCGGCGGCTGTGGCAGGTGGCAGCAATGGACACTCAGTGACAGCAGCAGCAAGTACCTTTCCGCAGCCCTGGCGGCAGACAAACTGACGACTGCATCCCTCCTGTCTCACCTCGCCTGTGGCAGCCATAGATAAGGATAAGGATAAGAGCAAGGACTGGATCTACGAATACCTGGAGAGCCTACCTGGGGAAAAGCCCGGACGAGCACCGATGCCTAATACAAGGGTGGCGTCGACCGTCTGATTCTGGGGTTTCTGGCTTCTGATGCAGGTTGGTGCTGGCGCGGCCGCTCCGGCGACGATGACCAGTCCAGTGGAAGTCAACGAAGTGATGCTTATAATTAGCGCTTGGCACTGCAGCTTGACGGGTGCAGCGGCTTCAGTTCCGAAGGACAAGAGAGGATGATGACGGTTGTAATGGGGGCCAGTCGCTATTGAAGATGGCTTCAATGATCCGCCGGCTGCTGTGGGCGGACAAGACTACACGCACAAATGAAGCACACACACGACTTGAGCCACATGCAGACAGACAGACCGCGGCCATTGACAGCTCCCTCCAGCGGTAGTAGCTGCTCCTTCCGGCATCTCTTTCCTCGTTGAATCAACTGTGCAGCGTCCGACGAATAGCGGCTGGAGCACAATCTCACTGGGACGAGATCACTGCTGCACCTTGCCGTGCGGTGGCCAGATTCCGCGCCGTTGCCATCCGACAGTCTTTCTTTTTCTCCCCCAAGCAAGATTGTCTCTCCCGGATTGATATCTTGCCAGGGATAGCTGCAATGCGAGACATGCCGGCAAAAAATTCCCCTCATGAGTGCCATGCGATACTCAATTGTTGTGGAAAGGCATCACATTCCGAATTCTCATTTGCCCAATAGACTCACTCTATGCTGTCTGTCATGGAAACCCATCCATGCCTCATTCAGCCAGCGTCTCCGCGGGTAGGCTCGCGTGATACTGGACCCTGAAGGCTCCTGTGCATTCAGGGTAGCAGCACACGGGCAAGTCATCGGGTCATTTGAGGGGCAACATCGCGGTTAGAAGAGGGTGTGCTCCTGTTGTAATGTTCGTCTGAAGCTTCTCCTGCCTGGCAATCGTGCAGGCGCCATAGAGGAATCAGCGTACCTAAGCTTCTCGAGAAGCACGTACGCAAGATAAGGTCTTCGCTGTCATGTGCCGATAGGTACATTCCGGCTGTCTCACAGGGGAAGGAAAGCGGCCGTCGCTTGTTGATAGGTTCTAGAAATTGATGGCAGCTCTCGAGGACACAGTAGAAGCTAGAAGTTAGACTCTCCCGCCATTCTCCAGAACGAGTTTGCATTGCTCGCGATACGATGTCTTGCTGGATGACATAAGTCGACTCCGCGAAGGATGAGCTTCACAAACACAGCTTGTTTCCGCATGTGAATAAAGAAGGTGGTCCGTGTGTCTCGAGCTCGAGATGCGGAGGTCGGTGAGGAACGGTGAGGGAGCTGCGGGTGCCGCCGACATGGACAGAGGAGGATTAGGCGGCGTGGTTGCAACTTGCGGTCCTAGAATCTGGGCAGAGTGAGGCGGATGCGCCTCTCCAGCATCCTCTTCTAACCGGGGAGAGTAAGCCGCCCGCCAGTCACATCACGAGTAAAAGTCGGCAACGCTGCAGGTACGCTCAGTACGTACCTGCTGCGCTGGGTCACCTAGACCCCCTAATCCCGACGGGGTTAGCACGACCAACTGTGGAAAGTCGGCAGCTCCACAGAGAGTTCCACAGTGTCACGGTCCTATCACAACCTGGAGGAGGGTGCTGCTTTTCCAGAGTGCCAGTCCGGTTGCTGGTGCTGGTGGTGCTCGTTTTTTTTTTTTTTTTTTTTTTTTTTTTTTTTTTTTTTTCACGCTGTGGTGTTGTGCCTGTGCCTGCTCTTGCTCGTTGCTTGGTGACTCGGGAAGCTACCCAAGTTAGGTGCTTGTACCTTGTCACTACTAGCCCCACCACGTTAGCCTCACCAAGGGGCCAAGGTCCTGCGCTACTGCTGTTGCTACCTCTCTGCTTCTGCTGCTGTTGCTGCGGCTTGGGCCTGTGCTCCGAGAGACAACTGGAGCAGCCTCCCGACGGCACTTTCTTCCCAGAACCTCACTTGACCGATCACATCGTCCATCAACCGACCGACTGTCGGGCCTCTTCCGCTGGGCAGCAACGTACCTCTAATTCGCCGGCTATCGCTCACTATCGAATTTAATCCGTTCGTCACGTTTAATCGACAACACGCTTCTACCATCGACCCGTCGGAAACATCGCAGGCTCCGCATCCCTCCGGTTGGGCTGCTAAAACATTCGTGTTTGCGAAAGAGGATCCATCCAAACAAAACAGCCCCAGCCGCCCCCCGAGACCGCTACTTCGAAGTCGAGTCTTCATATCATCGACATCGGCCTTTGTTGCCCACGTCGGCCATGGGAGTGTGTCAATCGTGTTGCGGAGGTATGATGCGGTTCACTGCTACATGCTGCTGACCAGCCAAGCTGATGGTGATTGCACAGGGAGATCCCGCGATGGACTCTACGAGCCAGTCCTCGCCGACAGCGAACGGGAGGCTGTCGCCGACCTCCTCCAGTATCTGGAGAACGTACGCGTTTTTCTTTACCCACCAAACAGCTGAACCTTCATACTGACGGTGTTTCAGCGCGGTGAAACCGACTTCTTCTCGGGCGAACCTCTTCGAGCTCTAAGCACTCTCGTCTTCTCTGAAAACATCGATCTTCAACGCAGTGCTAGTCTTACTTTTGCCGAAATCACAGAGCGAGGTATGTCGATCATTCTAACCGCCCGAGAAGAGCTTCAAGCTGGTCCAACGAACCGTGCGGTGTAGCACCTGCGGGCGTCTTCGTCTACGTCACCTGCTAATGCCAGTGCCCGTTCCGCAGATGTTCGCGAAGTCGACCGCGATACCCTCGAGCCCATCCTCTTCCTGTTGCAGAGTCCTGATATCGAAGTTCAGCGCGCCGCCAGCGCAGCCCTGGGAAATCTGGCCGTCAACAGTGAGTCTAGCTTCGCGGGCCACGCTGGATGAGCATTACTGATCTGAATTGCCAGCCGAGAATAAGGTTTTGATTGTCCAGCTCGGTGGACTTACGCCTCTCATCAGGCAGATGTTATCGCCAAATGTCGAGGTGCAATGCAATGCCGTCGGCTGCATTACCAACTTGGCCACACATGAGGAGAACAAGGCCAAGATTGCGCGGTCCGGCGCGTTGGGTCCTCTGACGAGGCTGGCAAAATCTAGGGACATGCGGGTTCAGAGGAACGCAACTGGAGCTTTGTTGAACATGACGCATTCAGGTACGTTATCGCCAACACTATCAAAAGGTCATTCTCGCTAACTTCAGAAAGATGAGAACCGCCAGCAGCTCGTTAACGCCGGAGCCATCCCCGTCCTGGTTCAACTCCTGTCCTCGTCAGACGTTGATGTGCAGTACTATTGCACAACCGCTCTCAGCAACATTGCAGTCGATGCTAACAACCGACGCAAACTTGCACAAACCGAATCGAAGCTTGTCTCTTCGCTCGTCACTCTCATGGACTCCTCGTCCCCCAAGGTTCAGTGCCAGGCAGCACTCGCACTTCGTAACCTGGCCTCGGACGAAAAGTATCAGCTGGATATTGTGCGGTCAAATGGTCTGGCTCCGTTGTTGCGGCTCTTGTCGTCGTCTTATCTGCCTCTGATCCTTTCCGCCGTCGCCTGCATACGCAACATTTCCATTCACCCACTAAACGAGTCGCCCATTATCGAAGCTGGCTTCTTGAAACCGTTGGTGGACCTGCTGGGATCGACCGAGAATGAGGAGATTCAGTGCCACGCCATATCGACGCTGAGGAACCTGGCCGCCAGCTCTGATCGCAACAAGGCACTGGTTCTAGATGCTGGTGCGGTTCAGAAGTGCAAGCAGTTGGTGCTGGACGTCCCGGTTACGGTCCAATCCGAGATGACGGCTGCGATTGCTGTTTTGGCTCTTAGTGATGAGCTGAAGTCGCACCTCTTGAACTTGGGTGTCTTTGAGGTCCTCATTCCCCTCACCCATTCTCCCAGCATTGAGGTGCAGGGCAACAGCGCTGCAGCCCTCGGCAACCTCTCTTCAAAAGGTATGGTTGCTACTACTTCAATCAAGGCTTGAATGCTAATTCATTCCCAGTTGGCGATTATGCTGTGTTCGTACAGGACTGGAAAGAGCCTAACGGCGGTATCCACGGATACTTGACGAGATTTCTCCAGAGCGGCGACGCGACGTTTCAGCACATAGCAATCTGGACTCTGCTCCAACTGCTCGAGTCGGAGGACAAGAACCTCATTCAGCTGATCGGCCAGGCCCAGGACATTGTCGACCAAATCAAGGAGATCGCCAACCGCCAAATTGAGCCTGACAACGAGTTCGAAGATGACGACGAGGGCGAGGTTGTGAACCTGGCACAGCGATGCCTGGAGCTGCTTGGCCAGAGTGGCTCAAAGTCTCATATCGAGGGCTAAAGCCCTTTTTCTTTTCAGTGTGACGGGTCTCGCTTTCACTATTTCGTTCCTCCGCTTCCCTTCTGGGGTACTACTACAGGATCAAATGGCTCGGGGGCTTGGGTTGTAGGTGTTATGGCGTTGATGATTATGCAGAATGAGTTCTGGTCGGTACGTTGCGTGTATTTGTTTTGGCGTGGAAGCATTTTGAAGGAGCGTTTATTTCGGCGAGCCTATTCCTGACGGACGACCCTTTCCGCCGTCCTTAGTTTCAAGGTACGGCATGTCTCTTTAAGAAGGACGACCTAACCCTTTTACTTTGTATTAAGCATTATGGCCCGTCAGTCGGGTTATCCAACTTCCCACGTTACTCGGCCTGTCGCCGGGCTTGATGAACTTTTCCTTAACGCCACTGGCCTTCCTACCTCGTTGTAATTAGGATCAGACCTTTAGAAGACCAAAAAAACAACTCACTATTCGTGATTAATTCTCATCCATCAGTCGAGCAAGCCCTCGTTGTGCCTCTCGTAAGGATAATCTGGTTGGATTATCGGGTTCATTTCTTGTCATCATGGTCGTCTTCTGGATCCACAAGGCCGTTGCGGAATACCTGACGGGTACTCCAGGGCAAATGTCTGGCAATTACCTTGCCCTTTATTAAAGCCAGTGGCACTGGTCCAAACATCCGTGAGTCTCTCGAGAGCTCCAAGTTGTCGCCCACAATCCAACAGTGACCTTGGGGTACCTGGCAGATCGTCAGTGTGAGGCTTTCGCCAACTTATGACACAAGCTGCCATACCTGCATCATTTTCTGGGGATAGGCATCGGGGCTTCCCACGAGGACGTAGTCACCTGGCATGCCGATCACGCGTTTGATGCCTTCCGCGCGTTGGAATATGGGAATTCGATAATGCACCAAGTCTCCTACAACAATATTGCGGCCGTAGCGGTAGCGTTTGTCAACAATGATGTGATCACCAGCGATGTCGAAAGTCGGCAGCATTGACGGGCCGGCCGCAGGTCCCCATTCGAAGCAGTAACTTGTAAAGACATGGGCAGCGGCCATGGTCTTTCCGGCAGCGAGAGCCAGGCGAATCGGATGGCCAATTATGGCTCTCGCCCATGGAGGCAGCATCGCGTCCAAACGGGGAAGCCGTGTGTTTGTTGATGCGCGTCTCTGACCTGAGAACAGCTGAGGAGTTCAGTGTCACACCCGACAATGATGAGGAGACCACGGCGAACCCGCCGGCACGAGAAATCGGAGCTCGGACCCCACTGAAAGCTCAGCACCGGGACTTGATTGGCGGGGAAGCTACCTACCACATGTGTCTTCTACAATTTCGTCTCTTCGCCTCCCATCACCTGCACCAGCTCCCACCTACCAAACGTGCTGAAGTCAACAAGCGACAACCCGCCCTGTGACTCAATCGACGATCCGAAGCTCCAAAACGTTTTCAGGAGACGGGTTGCCAGCATGAGGGTCGCACGATGCTTGTTCAACAGCAGGACAGCCCTATATAGGGTGTTCATCTCGCCCTACGAAAAAGTTGAGGCGCTATCACGATGTAGCGCTCTCTCTCCTCCCGCAACCAGAGTCATTCCACCCGTCGCCGCGTCGATACCGAATCTTTCACGCCACGCATCTATGATTCATCGATACAAGAAGCGCGGAACGGGCCGCCCAGACGAAAACAAGAAGCGCCTGATAGAAAACGACAGGATCCGCGACAGGAAGATCATGGTTGTAGACGAGGACAACAAGCTGGCTGGTCCGTACGTCACTTCAAAGGTCCTGCTATCCATGGACCTCGAGAAGGAAACGTTGCGACTGGTCTCCCCGGCCCCCTCGGACCCGGGCCCAGACCAACCAGCCTACGCCGTTTGCAAGATCATAAACATCCAGGAGGAGAGAGCCAAGGTGCGCAAATTGGAACAGGCGAAGAAACTTCAGGCAAAGACAAACAAGACCAAAGAGCTGGAACTCAACTGGGCGATTGCGTCGAATGACCTCAACCACAAGATGAGGCAGTTGAGGACGTTTCTAACCAAGGGTTACAAGGTTGAGATATTGATGGCCAAAAAGAAGGGAAGTAGGATTGCTACAGCAGACGAAGCGCAATCTCTTGTTCAAGCAGTCAGAGACGTTGTGGAAGAGACCCGCGGCGCCAAGGAATGGAAGGCCTCGGAAGGCCAGCCACTTAAGGTGATGAGACTTTACTTGAGTGGAAAGGCTGGCCAGGCTCTGGCTGAGGATGGCTCTGAGGCGTCTTCCGAGGATGGCTCTGAAGCGTCTGCCGAGGGGCAGTCCGAGACCTCTACAGAGGACCAGTCCGAGATTTCGGCAGAAGCTTCATCAGAGACTTCGCCTGAGGCCTCACCCGACGAGAAGCAAGCAGCCCCTGCCTCCTAAGCGTTTGATGTCTCTACCACATGCATGTAACAACAGGCGGAGTCAAGAGACTTGTACAGGAATCACAAAAAGTGGACAGAAACTGTAAGATGGATGATGTTGATCTATAGACCACTAAAATCATAGAGACTCTGCGTTCCGTTTCCCCGACTGTAGTGATTATGCGGCGGGAGTGTGCCTGGGGCAGATGGGTGACTGAGTACGGATACCTGATGGCCTAAAAGCTCTCACCATTATCAGATGGAATCGTCTGAGAACTGAGTCTGATTAAATCAGTCAGGACGACTAAATGGCTGCTTTTGAGCTGTAGGCGTGATGTTGCATAGTGATTGGCGCTACAGCTTGGACGTCATTCCCCGCACAATGCAGTTAAGCTTTAGCGAGCTTTTAGCGCGGGGCACCTAAGGAGTCGCATCCCGCCGCGCAAACCCCTGTGACTCAACCCTCCAAAACTTCTCAGTCTCTCCGATCAGATAACTTCTGGCGACTTATCCAAGCTCGGACTCGATCAAACCTACCTGCAGAAAGTCGGACCTCACCTCCTAATCAAATAGAAACCGAAACATCCAAAATCGAGGACAAACCAGAGGTTTTCGATCGACCCTGAGACCAGACAATGGCGACGGAGACACCAAACACCCCCGCGCCGCCGCCGGCCGCCGAGGAGAAGAAGAGTCAACAATCGCAAAAGAAGGACGACGCCAAGAAAGATGCTCCTGCCGAGGGAGGAGAGAAGAAGCTATCCGGCGCCGAACTGAAGGCCAAGGCGAAGGCGGAAAAGGCGGCGAGAAGAGCAAAGGCGAAGGAGTCGCAACCGGCACCACCAGCCGGCCAAGGAGCTCAGCAGGGCGGCGATGCGAAGGGAGGGAAATCGAAACAGAGACAAGACGGACCCCAAGGCGTCAGTGGTCCTGGTGGAAAGGGCGGTCCAGCGGGAAAGGCTGTCATCACCCCTCCCAAGGAGAACAAGCCCAAAGTCCCTGAGTGCTTCAGTCACCTGTCTATGGCTAAGAGGATACACATGACGGAAGTTGACAAGGACGTGCACCCCTCCGTTCTGGCGCTGGGCCAGCAGATGAGCGCATTCGCGATCAGTGATAGCACCACGAGACTGGAGGCGACTCTGCTGGCGTTCAAGAAGGTTGGTTTTGTTTGCTCCGAGAAGGTCAAGACTCTCTTTCTCACGTGTGGCAGGTCATCGACTCATACACAACACCTCCGGGCAACACATTCTCCCGCCACTTCACATCACACATTTTGAACCCCCAGATCGAGTATCTCTCGGCGTGCAGACCCATGTGCTTCTCCATGGGCAACGCCGTGCGCTGGCTGAAGCTCCAAGTCAGCAAGATCGACATTGACCTCCCCGACTTCGAGGCCAAGAAGCTCCTCTGCGAATCCGTTGACAACTTCATCCGCGAGCGTATCGAGCTGGCCGACTTTGTCATCGTCAAGACGGCTGCCGACAGCATCGAGAACGGCGAGGTTGTCCTGACGTACGCGCACCACCCGCTCGTCGAGCGCGCCCTCCGTCAAGCTCACGCCGACGGCAAGAAGTTCTCCGTCACTGTTGTCGACGACCCATTTGAGAGTACCGGCCGCGAGCTCGCCAAGAGCCTGCGCGCTCTTCCCGGAGGCGGTGTCGAGGTCTCATACTGCCCGGACCTGAGCGCTATGCGAGCCCACCTGCACGAGACATCGCGCGTGTTGGTCGGCGCGGAGGCCATGTTCAGTAACGGTGCCATGTACGCTCGCGCGGGAACGAGTGATATCGCTATTGCGGCTGCGGACCAGGGTATTCGAGTCGTTGCGCTGTCGGAGACCATCAATTTCACCGAGAGAGTTGCGATGGATTCCCTGACGTTCAACGAAATCGACCCTGAGCAGATGACTGCGGACAGCTTCCGTCTGCTTTTCGACACTACCCGGGATCGTCACATTTCTGTTGTGATTACTGAGTTGGGTATTACCTCGCCCGTGTCTGTGCCGGCGATTCTGAGAAAGTTGGAGGAGTTGTAAGAAAGAAAAAGGTGGTAGATTGTTAGAGGCAGCGACGTATGTCCTTTTGGTCCCCAAAGGGACACACCGGGTTTTGGGCGCTTCTAGTCCTTGGTTTCTCCCGTAAATAGATACCAATCCATGCGGACTCAGAAAGAGACGCATCATAGACATTAGCTTAGCAAATGCTCATCGCGATTTGAAAGTTTCATGTCTGGCAGTGAGACATTGGTGACTTTCACGGCGTCAATTAAGCCTCTCTCACGCAATATCTACACAGGGAACCCGCTCTCTTTAAGAGAATATCCCACACGGCGTCGTCCTAACAATTCCCAAGGACGCTCCGTAGCACAGTTCCCAGCCTTTTCCAGCTTGATACAGGGTCTGGTTGATCCTAACCCGTCTTCATACCTAAGCTTCTCGAGTGTCGTGTCGTCGCTCTCCCCGATCCTCGAGACAAGCAACTCCTTCCATTGTCTTTTTCTTCCTTTTTTTTTTTTTTTTTTTTTTTTTAAAANTTTTTTTTTTTTTTTTTTTTTTGGTTCAAAACTTCATCTTTGTCGGTAGAACTTTCGTCGTCTATTGATCAGCCTCCTTGCGCGCCGCTGCCCTCGCGCGCTTCTCGAGCAGGATCGACTTGCGCTCGTTGAGGAAAGCCGTCTGCCTGTCGTCGACGCCCTGGAGCCAGTAGCCGAAGCTGCCACCACCGGCCATGTAGATAGGGTAGACCCAGAGGGACTCCTTGTTGAAGAAGGGGCGCATCTCGATGCCCATTTGCCAGAAGCGGACGGCGAAGCCTGTGGTTCTTGCATCAGCAACACTGTCCTCAACACCCAGTTTCCGTTCGCTTGAAAAGCCCCATAGCAACTTCGCCGTCCTCAATGGCTCTCGGAAGCCGATCAGGGTGTGACGGAACGCAGGGAAAGGGCATCACGCACCGAATCCGCTCCAGAAGGCGATCCTGCCGACCATTGTCGTTTGAGTTGTGAAGGGGGTCCGGGAAGGGTTCGAGAGGTGGTCAATTGACGGAAGGGCCGGTTCCGCCGATCGTTAGATAGCTGGTATCTCGGGTTTGGTGGAGCGTCGGGTTCGATTCAATCGGCTGAGGTGATGATGGCAGCTTGGATGAGTGGTCTGTGGTCCGCGTTCCCGGCCGGGCGGGCTGCCCGCTGGGGTCGGCGGAATAATTGCAAATCGAGTTTTTCCGATTCGATCGCTGGGCCAGCGCTGCACTGGGGGTGCTTCCAGCGCTGTAGACCCCTGGAAGTATGGGGGCTTCGGCGGTTCAAGTCCACTCCCTGGATGTGAAGATTTTCTTTCGCAAGGACTGGTAAGAAAGAATTACTTCACGGAGACTTTTTATGACAACTCTTTCCATTCGATTTGAAAATATCGTATTTTTGGAAATTCTTTTGGGTCAAACCAGGCTTCTTACGCGTGGGACAGCACGATCCACAACCTCAGCACCTACAGCAAAGCTACCTAGTTGCTAAAGTTGCGCCCCATGTTCAGCATCCGATATGGTGTAGTGGCCAACATGATGCCCTCTCATGACCTTGAGAGGTTAGGCATAGCCCCGAGTTCGATTCTCGGTTTCGGAATTTCCCTTTTGCTTTTTCAACCTATCCTCCCGGGTCATTTTGTTCTTTATCTCCCACGTCGCTTATTCTCATTGAGCCTCCGCTACCTTGTAGCTATTTCTCTTCGTAACAACTAGGTGGATTTTGGCACGCTGACAACGTGCGTAGATTAAACGACGGGTATCACTGTTTTTTCCCAACCCCTGAGCACATTGCTCACATAATACGTAAACGTCTATCTATATACACACACTCCTACAATGCGCCGCCAACAGCCTGTGCGATCCACATTGCTATCCTGACGTTGAGACCGACGCGGCGTTCAGGCTTAGAGAAGTCCTCGCGAGTGACACGCTCAGCGTATTCTTGAAGCCATGTTTGCTCTTCGCCCAGGCGCTTCTTGAGGTTTTCGTCCTTGGTGAGGATCATGGCCCCTGCTTCCAAATCATGGGAATAGCTGCGCTTTGTGTAGTTGGAGCTTCCCACGACGCTAATGGACGGGTCTTTCTCCCCTGGCAACGTTATCCAGAGACCCTTAGCGTGATAAGTCCAGCCTTCAGGCTCGCCAACGGTACCTTTACGCCATTCCTTGAGAGCAATGGAGTCGTCCAGCTTGCGCTCGTGGACGGCGCGTACAAAGCGGCGAGCAAGAAGGGTGTATGCGCCAGGCAGAAGCCCAGACACGCCCGAGGAGCCGTAAAAGCCATTAGCCTGCTGGGAGGCTGTAATGACGACGTTATTTTGAGACGCTGTGGAGAGCAGCAGTTTGGTTAATGACGGTGCAGGGTTGAAGTAGCCTGCAGTAAAAGTCCAAGATGAACCTGCGTATTCAGGCAGGGCAAGTGTGGACAGGACGTGGGTGACGGCAGGAAGCTCGGTAGATGTGTCGGGCTTCATCAGCTGCGACAGTTGAGCGAGCATGTACACTTTGGTGTCTTTGCTCGCATCCTGTGCGGCGGGTTGCCTGGGAGAAATAAGGGCATGTAGAGCGGGAGTGGTTGTGCTGATGAACTGCTTCGGCTCTTCCAGGGGAGAGGGCGCCGGGTTGGACTTCGGCCAAGTCAAGGCAAATCCAGCGGGCTCCCTTGAAGGCTCGACGAGGAAACTGAAACCAGCTACTCCTTGGTAAATATTCCAGAAGTATTCGGTCACCTCTTTTGAGGAAAACAGATGATAGCGATCTTGACGGTTAGTGAAGTAATCGTTTGAAAGATTCGCCCTTAACTCTGTTAGCCATAATCTGGAACTGGGAAAGGACAACAATACCCAGAAAGAATGATTTCATCGTCGATGCCATACAGCTTCATATGCTGCAGGCCCCATCCTTCGTTGATGCGCTTGGGAATGTACTTCTTTCTCACTCCGGTCAAGTTGGGCGTGTGGTACATCCGAATCTCAACTCTGTCTGGGCCGAATTCGGTGACCAAAGGCGCAAGTAGGGAGGCACACGATGGATTCGGCTCCTCTCGAGTGCCTCGAAGAGCATCCGTAAGGATGCTCACCTTAAGCTCTGGATTGTTCCGCAGAGCTTCATGCAAAGTCGCAATCTTGAGCTTCATCAGCTGTCGTTCCAGGCATCATTGTGCACTCAGTGTATCTCACCAGCTCCTTCTCCGTCTTTCCGATATACAGGGTTGACAAGAAGATCCTGCTCTTCGCGCTGCGTATGCGCTCCTATCGCCGAATCAGTCTTCCGCTCCGAGCTCGAAATATTTCTCTGCGCCGCACACCTTCAGAGTTTCGTAGAAATCGGTCGGTGTCTTGATGATTCGGATCTGGGAGCCATTTATACTGAAGGACGGCGCGATCTTGTCAAGCTCATTCGCAAAGGGCGCAAGCATGCCTGCTGCACTACCGGAGCTCGAGGCCGCTGGAGCACCGGCGGCGGGCATCGCAAATCGTCGGCATTGCGGTCGGGACCGGGTGACGTTCGTTTGGGCGAAAGGAATCTTGAGCTTCGTGGAGCACCGCGAAACCCCGCGGACAATCATGGCGCTTTGATGGACCGAAAAACACCTATTTTCCCCTCGCCACAAGGTTGCGCATTCAGAAAGAGTTCATCTAAAGAATGCGAACTTCGAGACCCCAAAGACCAGGATCAGTGCATGAAGCTCCGTCATTGGCGGCGGGATTCACCGGCTCCAGCAAGGGAGCCTCTGTCCAATCGCCATTCAGGTTATGTAATCCCTGCTCCACAGCGGTACCTGCGTCGTTCAACCTTCCCGAACGTCGAGCCTTCAATCATCGCCGCCGACAGCACAGCTTCTCGAGGTCAATTGACCAGCCGCCGCCATGTCGACCCTCCCGAGAACGATTAGCAACCTGCGAAAGGTTGGAATCAAGGCATGCAACAACCTCCCGCCCCGATCGCGAAGCCGCCACTAACTTTCTCTCGCAGGAATACTTCCGCCAGCTCCTGGTACATCCGCCTCCGAACCCCGATCGCCAGTTGACCCCTCTGACGCTCGAGAAATTAGTACATCGGTGATACCAAGTACGGACGCTTTGTCGGCGAGGACAAGGCCGGCAACAAGTTCTACGAGAACAACGACGAACTCCCCCGTATGGGACCCCTTCGATATAGCGCAACTGGGTAAGATGAAGGCTAACGAGGAACTGGGTAGTGCGTACACGATGGGTGGACTTTAAGAAGCACGACTACGACTCGGCGCAGGTTGAGCCCGGCTGGCACGCGTGGCAAGGCTTCTTGGTCGACAAGCCCCCCACGGAGGATCCCCTCCTCCAGACCAAGACCCGCAAGTGGGAGCGCCCGGAGCCCATCCCCAACCTGACTGCCACTAGAGGAGCATTCAAGACGTTTAACACGTGAGTTTGTTTCATTTTCTTCTGGTCTTGATGTGGCGGGTTGCTGATACTATCTCCGCAGAACGAAGCCAAAGATTGCGAGCTGGGAGCCCAAGGCTGTTGAGAGGCAATGAGCGCTGAAAGTGTGGGATGAATGTATATATGCCAACATCGCTCGACGCAATTTCAGAGTTTTTCGCTTTGTGATCACAGCACTTGCTTGTAGTGTTGGTGGCCGCCGTTCGGCGGCTTGGTCAGGTACCCTCAGTGGCTCTTCAAGCACCAAATGAGTGATGATAGCAACGAGATTGGTATCATTGGGAACGCATCATTCTGATGATTAGTTTCTCGAGATTAGCTTCGCCTCCGACCGGGGCGCTCGGTACTGTTGACACCTACTGTTGATAACCGGTGTTCCTCCTTGCATCGTCGATGCTGCCTAAGGATCCTACAAGAATCAAGTTTCAAGGACAATTCAGCGGCTGTTGAAGAAATCTTCCGTCGCGAGGTTTGAATTCCTATCAGAACCCTCAATTTCATTAACAGAACTCGCTTAAGTGAGACGACTATCACTGGGTGATTGATCGAAGAGTTCAGAAGACAGGACACGAAAATATTGCGGATACATTTGCCGCCGGCGGCATTCTCAAGCCTTGGAGCATACGTCATCGATGACCGTTTTACTTCTGAGACGTAGCCGAGGGCTTCATTCATTACTTGGAGTCTCTATTTGTTGCGACCCTGAAGACACTTACAGACGCATTCCAAGACCTGCTTGCTACTGATTCTGCCAAATTTGCCTGGTCTTTTCAGAGAGGGTCATAATAACGCAAATAGTCAGGTTTAAATTATCCATCGCAGACAGTCAGAAGTCTGCGGTTGCACTCGTTTACTACCGTTCATCAAAACCTATTTCGATCAGAGTCGCCGCCGTCATCTACCTTACACGCTATGAGAAGCATCTCTTACTCTGGCTTCCTCCCATAGAGAGCGTAACTATGGGATGTTGGCCAGTGGAATCATGAGGGCAGAAGAGTACTACGGGGATCGAGGGTGGCTTACATCGGCATGTATGCATGCATGCTCTTGTCTTTCAGTCCCTTCCGGACATCGACCAGGAAGGCCTGCACTTCCTCTTTCTTCCAGTTCAGCGCCCTGGTATAGGCAGCCATGGTCCAACCTTCGATTCCTTCAAGATTGTTGTGGAGTGACCAAGTACCAATGAGTTTATGCTTCGGGTCTTTGGGCCACGAATTCATAGGCCACTTGTACTTGGTCATGACGATATCGACAAAGCCAACTTCCTTCATGATGTCGACCAAAGACGGAATGGTCTGAAACGGCCGGCCGAGAATTGCACATGCCTCTCTCATAAGCTTACCGCTTTTCACAACGGCGGAGTCAGGTCTCAGCGTGTTGTCGTCCGACTGAAGCTGGCCACCGACCTCCATAAGCTCGAAGTAGCCTCCGGGAGTGAGATTACTGAAAGATCCTGCAAACTTTTTGACATCATCATATAGTGTGGATCTGAGTGACTTACTCGAAGGAGTTTTGGATGTATTTCTCCCAATTCGAAATGCTCGATGT